TCTTTTACTACAGGACACCGCTCTGACAATTTCGGGGCAGTCCCTCCTGTTGGCGTGATTGGAAGATGTGTGTAGTTAGTAAACGGATGCTTTATTTGATGTCATACTTAGAAAAATTTTCGGGTAACTATACAGAGATGCTTGGCATAACCGTGTTCTTTAAGGGCCTCTGCCCATGAGAGTCACCGCCTGCAGGACAGCAATGCTCAGCAGGGCTGGGACTCGTGCTCGAGGCAGAGCGCGTGGTTAAGCATCGCCGGAACATGCTGCGCCCGGAGCCTGGACAGCTGCCAGGGGTACCCGGAGGGCCAAGAGTACCGGGGACGCCCCGAGAGCCAAGGGTACGGGGGACACCCCGAGAGCCAAGAGCGCCGAGGACACCCGGATCTCCGTGGGTGCCTGGAGCGCCACTGGCAGTGAGCTTTGCCCAAGCAGCAAGCCTCTGCACAGCAGTGAGCTCCCTAGTGTTGCTGCCTGTATGTAAATGATGCTGCCTCCCCAGGCAGGAGGCAGAATTGGCTGCTGAGCCAGTAGAGGTCAGGTCTAGGGTTCTCTCCTGCTGACAGAGAAGGAACTGGTCTCTGATTCACGTCCAACCCAACACCCTGTAAGGGTCCCATTTGCCCAGGAGTTCTGGAAACACGGCTTCTTGGGTTTGTGGATGGCTTCACTGACAGGCTGAGCAGGTCTCAGATGCGCTTGACTTTCATGGTGTCATCCTCAGACGTGAAAGTTTGTCATGATACATTTATTGTAACAGGCTTGGTTTTGTTTTTGTGGAGTCTTTGGGGCTTTCTAAGTAGAAGATAATGTTGTTTGCAAACAGGGACCACTTTTACTTCTTTCCAATTTGGATGTCTTTGGGGTTTTTTTGTTATTATTTTTATTAATTTCTGCCTAATTGTCCGGCTAGAATTTCCCCGACTGTGATGAGCGCAAGTGGTGAGAATGGGAGTCCTCACGTTGCTCTTGACCTGAGAGGAAACGTGTTCAGTTTTTCATTACGGAGCGGCAGTTTCGTCGTGGGCTTTTCACGTGCGATCTTCACGACGTGGAGGGCATTCTCCTTAGTTTATTGAGAGTTTTTATCCTGGAAGGGTGGTGACCCGTGTCCAGCGCTTTCTCTGCTTCTGTTGAGAGGATTACATGGTTTTTATCCTTCATTCCATTAATGGTGGTGCGTCCTGTTCATTGATTTTCATCTGCTGAATCATCCTTGCAGCCCAAGGATAAGTCCTACTTGGCTGTAGTGTGTGATGTTTTAAAATGTGCTGTTGAAGTCAGTTTGCTGGAAAATTGCTGTGCTTTTCCATCTATATTCTTCAGAGACGTTGGCTTGTCTTTTTTCTTTTGGTGCCTTTGTCTGGGAATCAGGATAATGCTGACCTGGTCACACGACTTGGGGACTGTTTCCTCTTCAGCTCTTGGGACGAGTTTGAGAAGGGTTAGCATTCATTCCTCTTTAAATGTTTAGTAGAGCTCACCAATGAAGTCAGCTGGTCCTGGGTTTTTCTTTGGTT